CTTCGATAATACTTCAGGCCAAATGATGGTCAATTTTCTTAAGGATCATTTTTAATAACCATTTTCAGAAATAGAAAATAAATTATGGATCGCATAGTGTTTATTTCGTTTGTATAAAATAAAAAGTACGATTTTATATTTCTGGCTATGCCGATGGGCCACAAATAAAAAAATAAACAAGCACATTGAGCATTATTATTTTAGATTATAAAAAAATTATGTAAACATAAATGTATGTAATTATAATGTAAATATATATGCTTATTTTTTATTTATGGCACGTATCAGAATGTTTTTATCACCAACGTTTTAAAATGGATGTAGCCTAATTCCATTTTACATTGGGAAAATGAAATCCACGTCGACTGTAATACCGTGCGGGACTTTCCATTTGGATGATTCTGCGAATAGGGTCAGAACGGCCACTTTCAGACTTCTCCCTAGCATAAGTATTTCTTCTTTCTTCATTTTTTTTTGTAGCATTTGGAGCTGACATACCTCTATATTTGAAATGGTACTTAGCATCCTTGTCCTACTTTGTCCGAAAATGTTTAACTTCTGAATGATTATGTTAATCACAATTAAAACAACGGCTCGATGTTTTTGATTGCTCTCGTTTCATTCGTTGCTTAATATTTTATCTCGCTTGATCAAGATATCACCACCGTTATCGATCTTCCAAAGGCTTATGAAAACAGCGGCTTTTCTCTTGTATATCCGTATTTACCTGAACTTGCTGAATCTTCTCGAGTTCTTTTTTAGTCAATGCCAATTCTCGCTCAGCAAACTCTTTCTTTCCAATTTAATATAGCCTCTCTCCGATACAATTCAACCTCTCTCTGAGTGATACTCATATTGGTAGAGTATCTTATTGCTGCCATTATATCTGTTGCTTGCTTTCTTTCTTTTTCATTTAATATAACGTTTGATTTTTTTATTATCTGAGACGGATATTGTTGGTGTGCTTGCAATCATCTTATCAAGTCTTCTTTCAATCCAGTGGTTGGAAGTTTTTTAAATTTCAGTATTACTCTTAATTCTGATGTCGTGTAATCACTCAGCTCTCTCATTTTGAATCTGCTTCTTCTTTTCTTTCTCTCACTCTCACTTTCTTTCTCCCTCTTTATTTCCATAGTCACTCAGAAATAAAGACGGGGTAATTGTTCACACCACTATCGAACAGCCAAATTCTTTTCGAATTCGTTTCCGATCCCGCGAAGTCTTAAATTATAAAAATTTCTTTCTTTTAATTGTTACTTTAATTATAATATTATATAAATTCAAAAGCCCTCTCGACTCGCGATACTAATCATAGTCACCATCTCAATGTCATTACTGCGATGATTTATAGATATCGGTCTGATAATCAACTTACATTAGTTATCTAATACTTCAACAATTGCGCTCGCGTATTGTTTTGAGAGTAAGGCGCGAAATCTAAATCTCTACAGTATTGTACATTAAAATATCTAATTATAATTCGTGCACAATGTAATTTTTTCGATGACTCGCACCTCTCTTGATGACTTGCTCACGAATTTTTCCATCAATGGGTCATCTAATGAGATCCTCTTTTTCCCTTTGTTATGATTGAAGCACCAATACACGTCACGCACCTTCCTTTGACCAAGAAAGAAGCTCATACAGATATGGTTGGAAATATAAACTAAACGGCTTTTTTGATTAGCTACTAAGGACGGTATTCATAATTCATTCTTATTTCAAAACTATTTTATATAATGTCTTAAGACACTAATATGATTTTTTAATTGGTTCATGACTTTTTAAGACTGTAGTTGAATCTATGCACTTTGTGTGTTCTGCGCATATATTCTCTCTACAAACAGGTGAGATATATAAAATATTAAGCTGAATAAAAAATATGAATTAAACACTTGCTATATTCCATTCTTTATTATCTTTCTACAGTTGTATCGCGAAATAATTTTATATTAAGCCTTTTATATTTCTTATAGTAATCGTTTATGATCAATTTATTGATTTAATTTACAATAATTTTGTTAACATTAATAATAAAGGATTGTAATCATAATACAATATTTGTGTAACATAAAGGTGTATAACAATGGTTGCGTGCAAATTACTTCACGTCTTTTTATTTTTTCTAACTTTTGCGGCGTAAATTCCTTAATTAACAGAGAAGTCAACAAACTCATGGAAAAGACGCGGGAAGCAGCGAAGATGAGTAATCACAGATAAAAAAGATAGATAGTATAAAAGGCATAACAGTTTTTAAATTAAGCAAGAAAATAAATGGTGAGAGTTGAAAGAGACATAAATATAAAGACTGAAAGATAATTAAACCTATAAATAGAAAGCAAAAGAAAGAGTAGTAACGAGATTAAAATAAAAGGTTGCAGAATTCATATACAGAAAGAAATAATAAAAAATCAAAGATAGACAAATAGCGTCGGAAGTTAACGAGAGGTACAAATAAAAACAGGAAGACAGGAAAGAATAGGGAGAACAAAAAGAGACAGGAAGAAACGTCCTTGCTGGACTGTATTGCCCATAATTGTGTCCTCGTGCACACGGACACCCGTGGAGAACCAGTAATGACGTGAAAGTGCATCTACGAGAAGCGAGGAGACAGGTAGGCCGCCGTTCTCCTGGCAATCTTGTTACGTCCAGGACAATCCCCTGGATCGTGGTCAGGCCAGCTTGGAGAAATTGTCTGCTTCTCGACGATCGAAGTGTTCGCCTGACCGAGGTGGCGAACGTCTCGTTCGTAGCGCGGTTGCTCAGTCACCTTCTTTTCTCGAGTGTGTTTTCGCTACAGCTGTCAAGCATTTCTTTTTCTTTTCTCTGATATTCGTGTTCGAAGGTGAACAATTTTCAGTGAGGTGATTTCGACAGAATCTTTTTCTTTTTTCTTGTGAGAAACGTGATCAGTTGGAAACGGAGTCAATTTCACTTGCACGTTCAACAATTTAGGTACGACATAAATGGAACAGAATCGATTTATTGTATTCTGAATATTTACTATTTATCAATTAATATTATTTATATTAATACGATTGTTGATATATATTTATATATCAATAATTTGACTTGATTGTTGATATATTTACATGAGAAAATATAAAAATTGCAATGTATATGTGAATTACGTGTAAAAGTGTTCTTTTAATTATGGAAAGATTATTAAAACTGAGACGAATGTTAGCAAGAACAAATAAGACTAATGGAATTGTGTTTCTTTCAAGTTTCGTTCACAGATCTTATAAGATAAATCTCGTATATATTAAGTTTTAAACCGTTACACATACATTACATTAGCTAGTTCTGATGAGGATGTTTTATGCATGAAGCTATATC